AAGACCTATATGTAGGTGGGAGTATAATGTTAAACTGGGACTTCGAGAACTAGGTTGGAGTGGTATGGACCAGATTCATCTTGCTCAGGATAGGAACCAGTGGCAGGGGTCTTGGAACAATGACAATGAAATATCTGGAAATTTTTGAATAGCTGAGCAACTGTCAGATTCTCAAAAAGGGCTCAACTCCATGAAGTTAGTTACTAATGCATCAGTACAAATAATAATTAAATATAAGATCTTACATGTGAAATCTACACTTTAATATTTTGGTTCTGATGGACCTTAGAAAACTAAGAGATGTGTTTCTGTTCACTTAAACCTCACTTAAGTGTGGAATAATCAAATAAATTTAATTATGTAATGAAGTATCTTCTGTGGGTGAAGGAAGTATGTCCACAAATTGGGTTGTAAACTTGTGCCAACTTCTTTACTTGAATGATATCCAAAATATACGTCAGCAACTAAAATACTTCTGATTGGGCACATGTCAGAGTAACATGGATTTAGTAAGAAACTGCTGGTTTCTGATGTCAGAACAAGTATCACTTTCCAAATTTCAAAACTGATATGGCAAGAAACTGAGGCAATGCCACTCAGGCTGTTACATGCTGGATTCTCACCATAGAGCCTACCAGACGACTTCAAGTTGGATTCATGACAGATTAAGTAACAGTAGACCAAGGTTTCCCTGAGTTTCTTCAGTTTTCCCCTGCTGATTATTATTCCACTTCTGCTCCATACTCATCTGTCACTGGCCCTTGGGGTGTGAAATAATGCTGACCAGGCAGCACAGTATCACATCATCAGGCTTCAGGCTGAGGGCTTTTTCTGTGACCTGGCACTTGGCTTGTCACAGGGTAATGTACTAGTAAGAATTTGGTGATGGCATTGAATTACAAAGCAGAATAATGACAATATCATCAATAATTTAACAAATAGCAGTGCTGTTATATTTTTAGAAATAATCACTGCATGTATGAGTGAGACAGAGAGAGAGATAATGATGGAGTGAAAAGATGGATGGATGCTTCTAACAAGAAAATGATCAGTGGTGCATGCCCCAAATTTCTCAAAATCCATGATGGTCTCCTAAGGACAGACACACATGCATCGTTTCAAGGCACTTAAATCTCAGTTTCAGAGGTGTCATGATGTAACAAGCTGCACATATATCGAATATGGTTCCAATATTTCATACTAAATAAATAAGTTATTTAGCTCATGTCATACTGCATATTAAATACTGTTCACTAATCTGTTTATTTATTTCCTACTCTACTAATGTTGAAACTTTAAATAGAATCACAAAATTCTGAAACACTGAACAAAAACCTCCCAAATGAAATGGCTGCTACAGTTGATGTAAAATTTTATTAAGTGACAGACATGTTGCCCCACACCTATGTGGGTGATTTTGCTGATAAATATTTTAACACAAGGTGCTCTGAACACAGCCACATTAATATTCTGTACTTGCACAGCCCTAAGCTCTGATAAAGACGAGGCCCCTCCTTGTATTATGTAGAGAGAATGCTTAATAAAAATAATTTGCTTCAATAATTATATGGAAAGATTTTTCCATGATAGAAGTTAATTTAACATATATTTTATACATTGAATAGGAAGTTAATTAATAACAAAATATCAATTTACATATGTGCCTGTGTGTGTGTGTGTGTAAATAAAGCATATGTTTATTCATGTGGAACTTCACAAATGTGTAAAAGCCATAATGTACTTGGCACAATCACACAGCTGCACCACAAACTTACACCAAAGAGCAATGTCCATTAAATATGGTTTTCCTTTTTGCAGATTTTCCCATGTGTGCTGTTTCTATCATTCCAATCTGACAAGTTTCGGTCAGCCATTTATCTTTCTAGTTTTTCATGATAATGTTGTGTTTGTCTTGTGTTGATTTTTCTCTCAGTACTTGGAGGCCTCTCAACACTGTGGCGCCCTATATTATGGTGTATTTATCTTACATTCATACATAAATCAAGAATTAGCTGTGAAGAACACATGACAGATACCAGACTATCTACTGTTTGTAATTTTAGATCCATTATGAAATTACTGGAACCGTGTTGTTTAATTCTGTGTGCATGGTCACATATGTATGTATTAATGACCACTTCCAAGTTCAGAAACAACCATTTCATGGATTAAACTCATATTCAAGAAAAGCACCTTGAAACAGGACAGTGTAAAGAAAGTGCTTAATGTTATAATTTTCTTAAATTAAATTAATGGCAAATTTCAATTTGGAAAACATTTGCTACAATTTTGTTTAGAATCTTTTATCTTCACATCTCTTACATAAAAGTAAAAAAGTAAAGTAAAGGTATTCCTGTAACAGGCCGTGGAGGCCCATAGGTTTGTGAGATGTTGAGGTTCCCACATTTTCTAAACAATCGGCTCATAGATGGTGGTAAGGTTGTCAGCCTTACGCACTGGCCGCCCTTTACCCCCAAGAACATTCAAAGAATATTCCTGGTACTCACTTCTGTCAGAGGCTAAGTCGACCCCAGGGCCATAGTGCAGCTGGAAGGATTAAGTAAATTGAAAAAATCCAATGACATTGAGATTCAATCCCATGGCCTTCCAGCTTGTAGCATAGTGCCTCAACCAACTATGCTACCGCGTGCCCCACATCTCCTACATAAACATATAATATTAGTATCGACAAAACTTCTCTTTTTTGAGGACATGAAATGTGATAAATCACCCTAAGGGACGAACAGAGAATGAGGCATTTGAGAATAAGTGCCTAAGAGGATGTTTGGACATAAGAGGCAAGAAGGAACTGGAGACTGGATGAAACTGCATAATGAGGAGCCTGCGCATAAGCACAATCAAATGTTAACCTTTAGCGTCTGGAGTGCCCTGATCGGGCCGGTGATGAGTATGGTCATCGTGGACAAAGTACCCCATTTTGGCCAGTCAGACATTTAAACTCAGCTAGTGGAAGTACGCGCAAATGCCGCTAGTGGAAGCGCGTGCAAATGCCGCTAGTAGAAGTGCATGCACAGTCCTGAATATTTATTTTTAAATGTGGTAATTACCAGACAGACCTGAGTAAAACCATAATAGAGGAATTAAAATGATACCTAAGTGAACAACAGCAAAAAAGAATATACGTATGAGTTATGCCCAAACTCATCCACGAGCCTGTACTTTTATTGCAGATTTTGCAGATTAATGTGTTAAAAATACATAGTAAAATTTGATGTACATACCATTTTTGTTGTTATCTGCTTGATATATATATATATAGGTTGAAATGAAACTACAGTATTCGATTTCACTATGAACGCACAGAAATTGAGTTAGATACAGCATTTTTAAATACAATGCTTAAAACTGTTTAAGCGCCCTAACAGGAATGGACATTTAAACACCGAGCAGCAATGGGCATTTAAATAAACTCCTGCCAGCTCAAGCTTACCACCATTTCAGAAGTCCAGCATTTAAAGGTTAATATACTGATCATGTCAAGGTTGATGAAATGGGTGGGAATGCAGCATGTACAGTAGAAATGAAGAAATGTATATGACATTTTGGTTGGATGACCTAAAGAAAGGAAACCACTTGTGAGGCACAGACATGGATGGAAGAATAATATTAATGTATATCCTAAATGAATAGACAGTAAATTTCAGATTATATTCAACTGGATCAGGACAGCCTCATGCTCTTCCATTGTAACATACCTCCAGATTCCATAAAAAGAAGAAAAATTTGCTGACCAACTGGGTGACTATCATCATCTCTAAAAGATCTCTTCTACATGGACCCAGTTGATTATCTAACTGGTGACAGGAAATAATCTGACATGCAGACACACAGACATGATCTTCCCTATATGCATTACTTTCCCAGAGTCCCTCCAGGCACACCAGAAGAGTACCTTAAATTACAATTTTCCTTTTTGTTATATTCTAATATGATATCCCAGAATTCGTGAGTGTTCATGGAGATGTAGTGTGTGTGCGTGCATGTGTGTAAAGTATGTTTGCTTTGTAAATATTAAAACTCTGTGGTTTCTGTCCGCAAGTGAACTATACCAACCAAGTGACCATTGTTAGTGTCTAGTGGTAAGAGTTCCTGGCTACAGATCCATAGGTCCGGATTCGATTATCGGCGCTACCAAATTTTCTGAGAAGTAGTGGGTCTGGAATGGGGTCCACCCAGTCTTGTGAGGATATCTGGGGAGTTATTTCAAGAAAATAGCAGCTCCGGTCTAGAAAACCGAAATTAACAGCCATGAGCATTCGTTGTGCTGACCACATGACACTCTATCTACTAAAGTTGTAAATATTACATACTGTTAATTTTAAAGTGAAATTTTTATACAGACTAATTATAGCTGGAGCCAACATATCTGAACAAAGCCACCTGTGTGCAGCGACAATAAATTATGACTAAATATAATGCTGTATTCATATGACCAAAACCATTTTACTATAGATGGTTCATTGCCAGAAATATTCAACATACTGTCCTGTAAACAGAAGGGAAACTGCTGTTTAAGTATAATAGTTGTCAGGTAATAGCCTACTGTAACAACAAAAATGGTTGTTGGAGGAATAAAAGTAGAAACAGCAGTACTAAAAACAACCCTATACCAGTTCAGACTGTAACTGGATTGAGTGGCTTTAGTTCACTTTATGCACATACTGAGTACAGCAAAAGAAATGCCTGTAAAATTTAATTCATAAGTAAAATGCCTCTAATGATAAATTCTAAATTGGAAGTTATGAATAAAAGCTATTGAAATATTCTCTTCTGAAAACATAACAGCTCTATCCAAATAGCTTTACTGGTTGAGTAGAAGTGGTAATATTTCAGTAATGGACATTTGACATCTTAGATCAAGTTTGATTGCCCTCATAAAATAGTAGGTAATTGAGTAAATTAGTGAATATGTTGGTTTCATTTACTGTTTCATCCTTAATACCTAAAATTTAAAGGGAACAAAATTTAAATCAGAGATTATAGAAGTAATAATATAAGAAATTCAGAACAACACATTTCTTGAATGCATGAATCCACAGGAAATATGTGAGTAATTTGATTCTGGGAAGTGATAAACAGCAACAATCAAAACATTTATCTTACAAAGAAGTGATAGCTCTATATTTCAGATACCATATCAGATCTGTTGAGTATGGGTAATAAGACTTCATCTGATGTTGTACAGAAATGAGACTGCTTACATGGAATAGCATAGCATTGAGTGAAGGAATCTCCGGTGAAACCTTGGCGACAGCTACATATTGGACTATGGCTGATAACTTCACACCTAGTGTTGAGACCACATGGTGAAGGACAAGGATCAACACATTTCTGATTAGCACACACTCTGTTCTTGGGACATTCTGAACTTGCAACACATTCAGGTCGACAACCTGGCGGACTGCCGATGTAAGTTGGCAGGCATGAACATACTCCCTGCCCATTCACATTCCGACACTGGCTGTAGGGCCCACAAGGTGATGGATTACAAGGATCAGCTTCTTCAGCAACAGGAGCTATACACACACAGATGTAGAGGTCAGGTGCACATGCAACATACATGACAGAAATATAGACAGAAATTAACACATAATCATGCAAGACTGTAAATAAAGAACAGAAATTACCGACATATGAAGTTGCTTCTCAAATACTTTGCAAACCACAAATAAGCCCTAAGGTTCTGGGGTGATGAATATTTTAATTTATGAACATATTTATATGATTTAAGGCATAATATTTTTGTTTTCAAAATAATGTCCTATCATCTTTTTATTAATTTATGGTTTACACTGATGGCCTTAGCAGCTCAGATTATATGGCATAAAATTAAATGATTAATGAATAATGAATTAGAAAAGATGTGGAAGGAAAATGTCATGGCTTAATTTGAAGTACTATCCTGGTGCCTGGAGGGTCTGTGGGAAACTACAAAAGCCTGTCTGCATAACCTGTCTCCAACTTGATTAATGAATCCAGGACTTCCCACATAATATGCAAGTAGCCTGATCACTTGACTGTGACATACTGTTTCGTTCAGTACAAGGACTTTTCACAACTACAACTGAAAGTGTTGCCAAAAATGTTGCTACAGATCTAGGCATCATCTACAAAATCAAAAAGCCAGGATCTAGAGGATGGGGGTGGGGAGTTCGGCAACATTTTATTTTTGGTTAGCAATTATGAAATACCAAATGGCTTTACACAAAATTTGCACTATGACTATGATACCTTTGAACAGTGATATAAGAAAGTCCACCACCACTACTATTTGCCAGATACATGATAGAATTCAATTGGCTTTAACTTCCTCATGAAGACAAAAGCTTGGGAGGAAGGAATTGTCCAGAACATATTTGGAATATGGTATTTACAATAAATGGTCAAAAAGGCACTCTCTATAATACACATGTGGACTGGCTATGATCAATTTAAAATAACTAGCTCTGAAATCAGAGTATTTTATACTCTCCTATCAAAGGGAAATGCAGTCTGAATAGATAGGCTGCAAGTTTCATCAGCAGAAGAAGCTGTGTTTTGCAGCTACAGAGTGTCAATTTTAAATTTGTTACACGTGTATACAACAATTTTTACGGTAATATTCTGGAAAATATGAAATAATAAAGTGAAAATGTTACAATCTTCAAAGAATGCAGCCGGTTGTGTTAACTTATACTGATTGTTTGTTTATCTGTCACCACAACACAATGGCTCTAAAAATTGTGTTCACATTAACTATGTATAACAAGTTTATTGATTTCAATGGTATCTTGTTATATATTTCAGCTTATGATGAAAAGCCATCATCAGGCAGATATACACTAATAACTTATTCTTAATCTATTAAATTGCATTCTGTATGGATATATATTTCACAGTATTACAATTGTTACTAATGCATCAGATTTTCAGTATTTTGTCAAAATTAAAGCCACTACTGCTCCTATATATCCATTCAATCAGAATAAAAACTTTATTTTAATTCATGTTTACAGATGTTCATACAATAACATAAAACATAAATAATATAATAATAAATTACAAAGGTTTAAAATTATAAAATACACTTAGATGCTGGGTTAAGATATTATTATGTCATGTTTAGATGTCTCATGTATTGCTACATATTAATGTTTAGTTTAACATTGCAATCATGATGTTATATTACGTGGTAATCTACGGACATTGTTTTGTTTATGATTTAATTCTTATTTCTGTTTAATTTTCCCCATGAAGCGGTTATGTTGTTTGGAATCTGTCAGTGTGATTTATTTGAAGCAGACCCCTTTGTGGATTTTTTAACTGTAATAAATGAATGAATGAATGAATGAATGAATAAAATGTATATTTAAATAAACACTGTTGCCTATTGCTAGAATGCAATGGACTATGGAATAAATACTCAGGAAAAAGGTGCTATTACTGTTATGATACAGGTGTATTATATATTAAGAAAATAGATTTTATATTACTATATTAAGGATCTTGGTGGTCTTTTGATCGTGTATGTAATTTTATATGTTATTTTGATATATGGAATGTATTGCTGTACAGTAGTTTTGTTGTATTGAGTATTTAAATTTTGACGATGATGACTATCTGATTATGTATGTATTATTATGTATGTATGAGTACAAATGGCAGTATGCTGGGCACAAATCTTGGTGCCACTTCCATGACACATGACATTTTCCGTTTATCCATCACAACACAACT